AGATACGTTAGAATGTTATCACCGTTTTATTTCGGTGATGTTCTACGTATATAATCTCAACATGAGTTGAGTGAAAAGTTACAGAAAGGCAGTCTCGAGGACTGCGCGCGTAGTAAGAACCAGTCCAGGTTTCTAAGACTTGAGCTTTCCTGTAACGAACGAATAGGCGGTTGTAAAACATATCTGTTAGTATCAAACAAGTCGAGTTTAAAAAATCAAAATGATATCTAATTGGATTTTTAGATGCACACTTAGGAGATTATTGCACATGTAACTGACAGCACATATCTTGTTCAGAGCTCATCTCTGAGTTGTTTCATTAGTTATCAAAGATCCTGAAAGATAGATGGTTGGTAAAAGGTGGAAACTAAGAGATATTATTATTAGTGAATGAAATATTATCGAAAATTTGGGCTCGAATTTTCACTAGGTACTGTTTGACAGACTATTACTATCCATTTCAATGAACAATGGAGTCGGTTGTAAGCTGAATAACTCCGGATAGGAAGCAGCTAGAGACCTACGGTTTTCAACATTCGAAAGAGAATAATATTCTTTATTAAGAAATATCGAAAGCTGGTTGGTGAACAATTGACCAATCAGGTGAGCTTTTGCTTGACATATTGGGCACTGCCTGGAGAAAAGATTCCCCGTTAGATTTGAAATCCTAATACAACCATTCGATAGAGAAAATTGTTCTCTATTGATGTACACAAGGCCCAGCACTTTAGCTTGTGCTGTTCACGAAATATAAGTAGTTTCCTGAGAGCCCCAATTTCGGCCAGCTGACCTTGGATCACTTCAAAAACCTCGAACTATAGGTAATTGATCATGCTGAGTCGAGTGATGATATTTATTTTCAGTTTTGAAGCGAATTAATTCGCCAGGTTAAACTTTTTTGAAATATCGACTCAATACGCCGCATAGTGCGACATAACCACTGAATATAAAAATTACAGAAATATTTAAATTAATGATTTCAATCGCTTCGAAACTGAAAATAAATATCATCACTCGACTCAGCATGATCAATTACCTATAGTTCGAGGTTTTTGAAGTGATCCAAGGTCAGCTGGCCGAAATTGGGGCTCTCAGGAAACTACTTATATTTCGTGAACAGCACAAGCTAAAGTGCTGGGCCTTGTGTACATCAATAGAGAACAATTTTCTCTATCGAATGGTTGTATTAGGATTTCAAATCTAACGGGGAATCTTTTCTCCAGGCAGTGCCCAATATGTCAAGCAAAAGCTCACCTGATTGGTCAATTGTTCACCAACCAACTTTCGATATTTCTTAATAAAGAATATTATTCTCTTTCGAATGTTGAAAACCGTAGGTCTCTAGCTGCTTCCTATCCGGAGTTATTCAACTTACAACCGACTCCATTGTTCATTGAAATGGATAGTAGTCATTTTAACTACCCAAAGGTAAAAAAAAAAATCTAGTATTGCTTGATTCATCTAGATTACTAGATTTTTACTCGATTGCAATTATTGTGTAACCACAGTGGAAATCTAGTAATTCGGCGATTACTATATTTTTTCTAGTTGTAACTATCCATTTATCACTCGATAATCGCTCGATTTAACTATTGCCAGATGCACCTGCAGACGCATGTAGTTAAACGTCCCTTTTTCAACTAGTAATCTAGATGACAACCAGTCATGTATCGCCCGATTATAGACGAAATGTATCTAGATTTTTCCCATAGGTGATGTTTGCTTGGGTATATGTATGTTGATGTAATGAAAAATAGGTTTAACCTTTAAATATAGGTATAAATAGGTTTAAATCTTTTTTCATCAGTGTAGTTTAAATTTTTTTCTTTTCTTGCTTCAATTTCTTCGAATAAAACGTATTTCAAAAGACATAAAATATACCGTTTTAGAAAACCGAACAATAAAAGTTAATATTATATACCCGTGTGTGTTGTTTCTCCTCTTATTTTGCCATATCGAATATGGTGGAGAGAGAAAGTTATTTGTCATTGAACAAATAAAATAATATGAAAGATTTTTGTCAATAATATTTGTCTAGATGTGAAATGAAAAAACGGAATTACCCTCCCTAGAATAATAATACGGTGATAATAAGATAATAAGATTACGATGATTCATATATGAAAATATAGAAGTTTAAAGGGCATCGGATGGACTAGTATTTATTATTGAGAAATGTCTGTTATTTTCATTTTTTTAACTTAGAGAACACTTCTCGCTGAACAAAAATAATGACGAAATAAGTAAGAAGCATTGAACCAAGTAGTAGTGTCACAGTATCTTTGTACTGCAGGTACAGAAAGAATAAAACTTATAAAATTTCCATGCTTGTTCAGTTTACAGTGAAAAATATGTTGCCAGAGAAAAAGCTTATTATTTTATAAATCATTTTGATTAGCAGAACAGTTCCAGTCACCCGTTCCCAGTAATCGAAACTAGTCACCAGTTAACGTTTTCTGCATAATCAAGATGTAGAAAAGGTGATGCTCATCTATCTTGTTTTTTACGCTATAATAAACTCACCTAGTTCAGTTCGCACCGACGATACTGCGATATAAACAACACACGTATAGAAAACCCTTATTCAATAGTCTTTAATGTCTACAGACAAATCAAATGTGTTTATTGCTCTGTATTTTCTTTTAAAAGTAAAACATGCTTTCTATAGTACGGGAGCGCTTCACATCAAGGGCTGTCAAGGAAAGATTTTCTATAAGTGTATTGTTTATGTAGTAAACATCGCAGTATCGTCTATGGGAACTGAACTATTATAGGTGAGTTTACTACAGTGTAAAAAACAAGATAGATGAGCATCACCTTTTCTACAATTTTGATTATGAAGAAAACGCTAACTGGTAACGATTTCTTTTATCCAGTTACTAGAAGCAAGGTGAATTGGAACTGACCCACCCCTACTGAACAGTACAACGTCAAAAAAACGTTGTATATTGTTTTAAATTCAAAACAAAATGAATAATAACTTACATGGAAACAATTAAAGCATAGTAGCGTATGCCCAGGGAAAGGCCTTTGTTCTTATTTGATACGATTTTGAATTGATTTCTAGTGTTTTTAATATGAATAGCTGGAAGACACCGAAAACAGTTGCACTGTAAACTCTGTTTACGCGACAATTTATCGTTACTTTTTTCTAAGTTACAGAGAACAGTGCCTCTGTTTATTCAGGCATAAATTAATTTGTCCAGTTTTAAAGATTCAAAAAACTAATGTATATTTTTATTGATAATTGATCCTCATTAAAAGACCGGTCTAGTGTAGTTGCAGGATTAAACCTTTCTCTTCAGGAAAAAATAAAAGCGGTAATATACTTCCTCCTTTCATATTCATAACTGACTTTTAGGGTGAGGTTGTTGCTATTTAATCAATTTTTGGTAAATCATATTCTGTCATTGATGCTCTTCTTTTGTTATAAACAGAAACTTTCGTTTAATGCCACTGAGCTCATCTTCCAATTTGGACGACGTTTTGGTCTCTTACCTACTTTCCTCTACTTGCAGCGTCGTCAGTAATCTTATGCAATATGAAAAAGAGTAGTACGATAACAAAAGAAAACAGTCATTCTCTGTCGTGTTAAATTGTGCTAATTGAACTCAACTTTACAGAGGGAACCAGGGGTGTGGCAGTTACCAGTACCGTTACAGTAACTGCAACTGCTGATCTGTTACCGTTTCTGGTAACGGTAACGGATAATCAGTTGCCGTTGACAGCTACACAGACAGCACAGAGACAATCCGAAATAACTACAGTCCATATTGCCGTTTGTGGAAAAGGATAAATGAGTGTAGTTGTCCTGTCTAACCTCTCCCTCCTGAATTAGTCAGTTTTCATTGGTCGAACATATAGCACTTCATGAGTGGTTAGACTTGGAGTTTATGGAATCGTCCCAATCTACGCCTGAAACAAAAGCAACTTTTAAACGGGATCGGAACAGTTTTTTTTTGGAAACTGATCTTGGATAAGTTTTTCTTATCAAGAATTAGATGTTCCACATTTTCCAACTTATCTTTTCCCATTCTGAACAAGCAACCGTGTTTTTTTTATTTCGACTATATAAAATAAAAAAACAATGCTAACGTATGAAGACTAGGAATTTCAAAACAGCGAGAAAAGTATGTACTTACATGAAATGGCTTAGCAAATATACGTTTATATCCTATTACCATTGGTTTCCTACCATTCTTACGGTTATGCTGAAATTTAAGAATATTGAATGGGATTGCTTTATTTTTACCGCATAATCTTTTCAGAATCAATAAATCGCGCGGAAACACCGGTCCGGGACCGGATCAAATAAAGGCGGTCCCGCAGATTTCTAGGCTAGATAAAGAGGCGGACAGACCAAGACAAACATTTCTGTGCGGATGACTCTTTTTTTCAGAAAAAAGGAATAAGAAATTTTTTTCTTAATTGTTGCCGCTGTTCACCGCGATGCAAAACCAGCAGTTCGCTAGTCTTGACCATATTGTCGAACACAATAATATCAATCTAAACTTGAAAAGCGCTTCACTGCAAGAGCCTCAACAAAAACATGGAAAAGTGGTATGCGGAGCTATCGCCCTTTTCATCATCGTTCTTCTTCTCGTTATTGCTCTTGTCATCAGCATCGCTCTTGTCTTCACCATTGGTGTGAAAGCAACGCGATCAGATGAAAGTAGTAATACTGCAAATTCTACCTCAACGATCTTGCCTGTGAGTCCTCTCTTCGAGCCCTGTAACTGTGGTTGTCCATCGGTCGAGCCTTTATTCAGCGATGAAACGGCAGCGGCTACAGCACGTATTGTTAACGGGGAAACGGCACGCGCACATTCCTGGCCCTGGCAAATACTCTTAGTTATGTACGATCCAGAAACGAAGTTAGAGTATAGATGCGGTGCCACTTTGCTCACACAACGACACGTTCTCACCGCGGCACATTGTGTCCACGGTTTCTTCCCCCCATATATGGTCCTGTTTTCAGGCCAGCACGCTCGTAATTTGAGTATCTCTCTAATAGACGTCCGTGTCGTCAACAAAGTCTATATTCATGAAAGCTACAACAGCCATGCCCACAACGATCTAGCCATTCTCACAACCGAAGAGCCTTTTCGTTTTGACACATATGTTAGTCCTATTTGTTTGGCCACTCCGAATTCTCTTCTCCTACAAGCGAATGAAGAGCTTGTGGCCATTGGATGGGGTCGCATTTCCGGTCAACCCGAAACTTTTATATATCCCGAATATCTGCAACAAGTCAAAGTGGCTTACGTGCCAGCATCGAACTGCTCACGAATATTAGAACCAACAACTGTCCTGCATCCCGGACAGATGTGTGCTGGGAGACCGGGTCACAACGCTTGCAGTGGAGACAGTGGCGGACCGCTGATGCGACGAATGCGCTTGGCTAACACGGGGACTTACTATTGGCAACAGATGGGTGTGGCATCGCTATCAAAGGATTGCGGCTGGAACAGTACGTGGCCCGATATCTACGTTAATATACCATATTATTACGATTGGATCATGGCGACAGTGAAACGTGCTGTTTAAGGACATTTTCATTTCAATCTTTCGCTGAACCTAAATGTATGTTATAAACTTACATCACCACATACCAAAATCTGGAGTTGTCATGACATTGTTCAGCGGAATTAAAGTAGCCTATTAGCGATTTATTTAAGAACTAATGTTTTTTTTTGTTAAAAATAGATCTGAAATATAAATATATCTTAATATAGAGTGCAGTTTTTATATTTTCTTTATAGGACAAAAATGAAAACTAATGTCATCGTTGATGGGATGTTTTTCAGCTTTCGGCTCAAACTTAAAAAAACTTCAGTCAAACGGCAGACCATGCAAAACTTAGAACTTTTATCGGATACAAACATTTACACTTGATTTCGTACTCTTGGTAGAGGAAAGAAAAAACTTAATTTGACCATTCTATCGGACAATCGGTTCGTCATTCTCTAGCACAACGACTATAAAAATGGAAGAGGGCGAGTATCGTGCAGTAACATGGAAAGTCCCGGATGGGTACGAATCACTTGATGGTTGGATCTTTATGGGAATGGCACGAAACTCTGTCGGAATTTTCAAGATCAGACGAAGATGGCTTCAGCCCGAGAGAATTGAAATTGTCATTTTCGATCAAATTCGCAGAAACGTCAGTTTCTTCGAAAATCGATATTTTCATGTAAGATGCTCGTATACAAATAAAAGTGTAACGCGCCAGAGTGATATTAATTAGTATTTATTAGCATGATTAATTATAAATTATTGTCTTAAGAAAACTTTTTTCGTCAAACCATAACAATAGATCATTGGCTATCAAACCATGCAAGAACGACATTTCTAGGATCATTTTTAACCGAGCTACAAGCTTTGCAAAATGGGAACTAGCTACATAAATTATAATTAAAATTTAAACTTAATTAATAACTCTGGGAATACTTATCTATCCACTCATCCAGTCTACTAATGAAAGTCAAACTTTTATGATTTTTATATGTCCTATGAAGTTGTATTATCAAAGAATGTTGAGTCTGTTTGTTTTTGGCTGTCAAGAGTTATAGTGGTAAATAGAGACCGTGACGAAATTATCAAATATGAAATTATTTTTTCACAGCTCACCGAATTTGAATTGAGGCATCTTCTCAAAAAATGATTTATGAAACAGTTATGCCCCGATTGTGGAACTTTTAGAATATCTGTTTGATTTTGTTTGAACTTGTCTAAATCAAATAAAAAGGTGAATGTGTGCTCCGCGACCGAGTTACACTTTTTTTTGCTTTCAATGCAGATGTGTCATTGTTCTTTTTCCCAGTAATGAATGAGGCAGTTAAGATCTGGTTTGAATGGGTAAATACACATTTAATTATCCTCTACTAAACTGAAGTAAAAAGTGCTGTTTCTTTTTACATAAAATTGATAACAAAAAGAGGTTGGTGCGAATTTTGTCAACAATACGCAAAACTTGTTAGTTTAATAAAAGAGCTTTTTCCAGCATTTAAATATAGTTTATTTTATTGAGAATTTAATCATCTGTTCGTGAGATGATTTCTTAACACTCAAAGGAGTCAGACCACTCTAAAAATTTTAAAAAGTTAAATGTAGATTTCATATTTAAAACTGAATTATCATTCATTTTAAACTGGATATTCGTGATCAGCGTGAAAAACAGCGTCTGCTGATGTATATCGAAGATTTAGTCAAGAAAATGTTTTTTTTTACCTCGCCAAGTCGCATAATTGAAGAGAAAAATTGAATGAAATTTTTGAGAATGACTTGGCATTAGAAAAGAATGATTTAAGCAGAGAGAAGAAAATTGAATGACAAGAATATTCTCAAATTTATTTTCAATTAGAGAAGAAAATTTGTGCATGAAAAGCAAAAATCTTTATACATAGAATCTAACCGAGTGGGTAGCAGCCGATGATCCGGTTCTTATTCATCCGTTTATTACGAAAAATGTGACTGCATTTTCTCCACAAAAATGAAGGACTAAATGTTAAATGAAATCTCCAATGTTAATTATTTCATGTAGTTTGCAGATGAAAGATAATTTAATGAATTTATAAATAGGCAAAACTCATCTAGATTTTCCTCTAACCATCCTGGTTTATACAGGATACTTCGAAGCATCTGTCCTAAAGCTTTCCAAGCATAGTGACATCATTTGGCTGAGAAAAAAATTAATTACTGAAAAAGATATTGTTATATTTTATTTTCAGCTCGAAATGGATTTTTCAAAACACTTTGAACCAAATTTCGCTCGACGGAAGCATCTTCGACGAAAAGTGTGTGTACAAAAGTTGTTCAGAATCAGATTTCCTGGAACATACGTGTAGGATTTTTCCAAAATTCTCTAAACATGATTTTTAATTTAGATTCTAAAAACCATACTTTTCAATTTAAAAATAGAGTTTAAACAATTTTGAAAAATCCTTCGTGCATATTCCAGGGAATCTGATTCTGAACAACTTTTGTACACACACTTTTCCTTGACAATACTTCCTTCGAGCGAAATTTGGTTCAAGGTGTTTTTAAAAATACTTTTTGCTCAGAAATTCCATCGGGCAGGTCAAAGCGGAATAACTCAGTCAAAGCTTGACCAAATCTTTTGTGGATACATCTTGATGTCCTGTATCGTTTGACATCAAAACCGCCGTTATATGTAGAAATTTCATTGAAATTTTAAAACGAACACAAAGTTGAGAGAAAATTTAAAATACTTCTTTGTCAAAAACTAGAAGTCCTGTAACCGAAAAACTCATAGGAATACTCTTCAAAGTGTCCTCTATAAACTGAAAACAAAACGGGTGAGAGACCCCCTCTTCAACGAGGAAAACTGTGAAAATAAATTTTTATTTTGAATTTCATTCAACTGTTAGAAATGTTCATTTGTAGCTGTTCTTCATTTTTTTCTGTGTTATAGACAAAAGCACACTCATATCGAAGGGTAGTATTTAGTAGAGTCAAACGCCCTAATGTGATCATGTCACTTTTTATTTCTAGCTTTTTGTAAATTTAAGAGTACTTTCTTAACATTTTAGAGAAATTCTGAGCTTTTTTAAGTAGACTAGAGCAAGTTCAAGCCGATCGATTTGTATAAAAAGTTTTAAGATCCCGCCACTCATTCTCTATTAATTAACAAAAATAGACATGACGAATATATTCACATCTTCGTTTTGACTTTTCCGTTGGTTATAAAAGCTTGAATAAATCTAAGAAATGATTTAAATAATGGGAAGCAAACCTGTTCTCTGAAAAGCCCAAATTCGCCTTGAAATTTTATTTATTTAACTACGCCTCATTTTTCCTAAATAAGAAGCGAAAAACTCGGAATTCTGACCGTAATTCCCAATTTTCTCAATCAGAACTCAAATTTTGAGCAATAAAAATATCATATTCGGAATCGGAATCAAAAACTGACTCGATTGATATGTATGTCTATCCTATCTGACTACTTTGATTTTTCTCCAATTTTCCTGTTGAAAAATTATCGAGATTTTCGCTCAAAATTGAAAATCACGCTAAAACTTGCGAAATACATTCTGATTTCGAAAATGATATTTTTATTGCTCAAAAGTGGAGCATTAGAAGCTGAATTAAGAAATGATCACAGTGAACGTTGTAATGACCGATCAAGTGGATTTAACATTCTGAAAGAGAGCAGAGTGTCCGACGTTTTCGTCTGTAATTTAATAAAATCACGTTCATAACTCAATCGATCATCATTAAGATAAATCAATGTTTTCCACTACCACTTGAACCCGTTCAGTTTTTCGATATCCATGTAACAACCATTGCCGAGAAGAACTTTCTGTTCATCTGGATAATGGGATAATGGAAAAATATCCGGACGATACGGTAGGTTTTTCAATGTGATAACGAACAGTGTATTACCAAATGCTTTGGCTACACGATGATCTTTCGATATTGATGTAAACGAAAGCCATTTGATATTGAAGTTCATAAACAACGTTACAATTTTGTACTGGTGGTGGATCAGGATAGCATTTCTCATGAAGGTAAGTTGAACTTATGTTTATTATGAACAATTTTTGGTCTTTTAGAAATTGAAACCCTGTTTCTTGTAGTGAAATCAGTTGGTGAAGAAGGTATCCATTGTCCAAGTTCTACTTAGTTTCTCACTCTCTTCTTTTGTTTAGATGCAGATGTTGTGTTTCTTCAAGAGAAGGAAGGTGTCCAGGAAGGTACACTAGCTCTTATATCATTAATTACAAAGCACATAAAGTCTGTTTGCAGTCACCCATTGACTGTACGATATGGTCAAATGTTACGGAATTTCATTTTTCGTCTTCTGTGCCCCTTATCTCAGCTTCATTGATCAAGCAGATCAAAAATTCTAGTCAAGATAGAGGTCGTTACGGAATTTCAAAAAACGGAAATTTTGTCGGGGTATTCCAATCAAATGTAAATTATTCAGTTTCAGTTTAATTTTAGAGTGATCGCTTAATTACCAAATTAAAGCTCACTGTTTGGGTTATCAGAATCACTACTGACATTCCTTGAATTATATTCCCTTGTTTTCTTGTATTATATTGAATTATGTTCCCCGGCAGAGGAAATCGAATAAAAGTTACCTTTACGGAACTTCACCGTTTTTTGCTTTTCTTTGTGGATGGTCTGGTATATATTTTTCTGTTACAGAACGATCTAGCAAGCTCTGATTTGCACATAAATAGATAGTATGACGTGTCCTCCATTCCATGCAGTCAAAAATAAATTTCCGACGTTAGATCAAATGAGCATAAAATTGCTCAGAAAACAAGCGCCAAAACTTTTTTTAGAAAATAAGAGAAAATTTGACATCCAAACGTGAAAACAAATGAGTCCTTTTGTAATAGAAGAATTGATCAAAGAGGATTTGACTCTCCATCTGACGGTATTGTTTTCAGAATTTTTGGAAAAAATTAAACTAGATCAGGAAATTAAAGTCAAAAATTTAAATTTTCACTACGAAGATTTGACTTTCATTTGTTTTTAAGTCCAGATTTGTAATTGTCGTGAAAAACTGCGTCTAA